AAAGGTCATCGCTAAAGAGGCTGGCTGTTCACAGAGCTCAGTGTCCAAGCACATTAATAGAGAGGCGAAGGGAAGGAAAAGATGTGGTCGAAAAAAGTGTACAAGCTAGAGAGATAACCGCACCCTGGAGAGGATTGTGAAACAAAACCCATTCAAAAATGTGGGGGAGATTCACAAAGACTGGACTGCAGCTGGAGTGAGTGCTTCAAGAACCACCACACACAGACGTATGAAAGACATGGGTTTCTGCTGTCGCATTCCTTGTGTCAAGCCACTCTTGAACCACAGATAGCGTCAGAAGCGTCTAAAGAGAAACAGGACTGGACTGCTGGTGAGTGGTCCAAAGTCATGTTCTCTGATGAAAGTAAATTTTGCATTTCCTTTGGAAATCAAGGTCCCAGAGTCTGGAGGAAAAGAAGAGAGGCACTTCATCCACGTTGCTTGAAGTCCAGTGTAAAGTTTCCACAGTCAGTGATGGTTTGGGGTGCCATGTCATCTGCTGGTGTTGGTCCATTGTGTTTTCTGAGGTCCAGGGTCAACGCAGCCACATACCAGGAAGTTTTAGAGCACTTCATGCTTCCTGCAGCTGACCAACTTTTTGGAGATGCAGATTTCATTTTCCAACAGGACTTGGCACCTGCACACAGTGCCAAAGCTACCAGTACCTGGTTGAAGGACCATGGTATCCCTGTTCTTAATTGGCCAGCAAACTCTCCTGACCTTAACCCCATAGAAAATCTATGGGGTATTGTGAAGAAGAAGATGCAATACACCAGACCCAACAATTCAGAAGAGCTAAAAGCCACTATTAGAGCAACCTGGGCTATCATAACACCTGAGCAGTGCCACAGACTGATCGACTCCATGCCACGCCGCATTGCTGCAGTAATACAGGCCAAAGGAGGCCCAACTAAATACTGAGTGCTGTACATGCTCATACTTTTCATGTTCATACTTTTCAGTTGGCCAACATTTCTATAAATCCTTTGTTTTTATTGGTCTTCAGTAATATTCTAATTTTCTGATATGATGAATTTGAGATTTTCATTTGTTGTCATTTGTAATCATCAAAATTAAACAAAATAAACATCTGAAATATATGAGTTTGTATGTAATGTATGAATATAATATACAAGTTTCACTTTTTAAATGGAATTACTGAAATCAATCTACTTTTTCATGATATTCTAATTTTATGACCAGCACCTGTATACTGTCCTCCTGCTGTGAAATCATCTAGTTCTGGATCAACAGACAGAACAACTGCTCCACAGTTCACTGCTTAACATGCTTTATCAGCTTTATCAGTAAAATCCAGTCTCCTGGTTTCAAACTTTCGGTTTCCAACATCCTGGTTTCCAATATCGTAGTTTCTAACATCCTGGACCAGCAACTACACTGATAAAAATGACTTTTTGGTGTTGTAAACTCTATTAGAGTATTTGTAATAATTTCTAATTAGAATTTTTAAGCTTCTGTAAGAACTAGAGTTTCTGAAGTAAAATTAAGCCTTTTTTTATGTAATACATGGATTTAGGAAGAAGAGTAAATTTACTTAAATCATTTGAGTGCAAATACTTACAATATATTTTTCAAGTAAATCTTATGAGCTGCTTTTTTTTAGTGTACCTATATTTACACAGTGTTGGGCAAGCTACTTGTAGTGAGTTAAGCTATCAGTTACTCAACAATAAATTAAGCTTCACTACACCAAAGCTACCACCTAAAGAATTATAGCAAGCTAAGTTACACTAATGTGTTAAAAGTAGCTTAACTACATCAGAAGCTACTTAACGTTGTACCAAGCTAATGTCAATTCAAAATGAGTCTGATACACTGGCTAAAATATTTATTAAAGATCAGCCAATGACATAACACAGTGTAAACATTGCTTTATGATCAGCATATTAAAATAAAAATTAAGTAATTACTAGTAGACAAACTAGTAAACAATCTGCTGTTATTGGAACCGGTATTGGAACCGGTGTTATTGAAAGGTACTGTGTAGTGTTCTACACATCGAGACATGGCTATGAGTTTGCATTCAATGGACATCTCTAGGGAAAACAAAACCCTACAAAAGGCATTTTATTTCTTTAGGGTCTCCCTTAGAGAAAACTTCTTCAGACCTCAATTAAACAGTCGATTCAAGTAACAAATGAAACTGTTTACTAAAAAGGTGAAAAAATAAAGAAGCTAATTAAGAGATATATATACATTTATGTCTCACTGTATAATTTAATTTCTACCTACATATTTATTCATTGTATTTTTGGGGGCAATTAATTAAATGCTTATTTATTTATTTATTGAGCATTTATTTATTTATGTATTTATTTTATATATGGGAGAGCTGTTCCTCCATACGTAAAAAATCTTATCTGTGCAAAGCCTAAAAACAGATTTATGTAAACATCCTGTCAGGTAAACTAGGCCATGAAAATACAATATGGAAGTTTAACTACTGCTCTCTAATTAGAGTATCTTAGTGACACATATGGGAGAATTATCCTGCCATAATGCAAGAGCACATCATTTCAATTTGAGAAAAGAATTTCATCTTCTTGCACTCAAAACTTATAATGCTCACACTCAAAACATGCGCTCTCTCTCAAATATTTCTCTTCTCTCTCAAATCTTTGTTTCTTCTCTCAGATTTAATGCTTCTTGCACAGATATTTTCTCCTCTCACTTGCCTCCTTCTCTTTGCGCACAAACCGCGCTCTGTTTGAGTCTCAGATACGCTCGCAAACCCGTAGGCTCTGCTTGAGGATTTTTTTTGCTCTCACTCAGATTGCAGTTGGATCGTCGCCTAGCAACCTTTCCAGCCAATAGAACGACAGCCTCGGAAAGGGTGCGCTTGTTTAACCGTACTGAGTGTGCCTGTGCTACTACGCCACTTATAAGAGCGTCAGCTGAAACTGCTATTTACAGTAGTTTTGTGGCTGATTGTTGTTTCAAAATAGAAAACCTGGTTTCATTACTTAGTTTTGCCCTGGATTTTGTAACGTTTGTGGACGCTGCGTCGCTACTTGATCAAAACAATAACGTCGCTACAGGAAAGTTACTTGATAAATAAAGCAGCGTCGCTACGGTCAAGCTACTGGAAAATGTAGTTAAACTAATAGCTTCGCTACATGTAGCGGCGCTACTGCCCATCACTGTATTTACACCCTCAGTAAATACATATATATATATTCTATATCATGCTTTTTAAGACATTTTAAAGTCAACCACAGTGTAGACATCTATTTGATGAAATACTGCATTTGGCACTATGGAGTATGTATTTGTTATGAAGGGTTGTTTATTATTGGGTGTTTTCTGGTGCTTTTTTCTAACCCTGACAAAAGAAACAGTGTCTTAGCTGTAATGCCAGCTCTCCCCTTATGAGTATCACCCATCTCATCATGTTGCCTAAGACCCACTACTATATCAGTGTTGCGCCACTTCACGTGATTAAGCTCCTCTTTAAGAAAGCTGAAAAAAGTCAGACTCAGCTGGAACATGAATTTATGCAACTTAGTATTAGCTTAAAAAGAGCAGTAGCTGTCACTGTGCAGATTAGGTGGTAAAAAATCCACTTCATCACAACTATGAGTAGATATTATCTGTAATGTGAGGTGCTTTGCCTTGCAGATTGGAAAAACTGTTGTTGCTTACTGGGCAGGTGAGGCGTGATAAATATATGTGCTTCCTGGAGGGGATAGATTACTGTTGTACACTGAGCTGTGATTGCTGTTTTATGTAAGACAGTTCTCTCACTTTCCCAAGACAGGCAGAGCAGAATTCAGGATGATTACCTGGACATGCAGAAATCAATCAGAAATATCCTTTCTGGCAGGATTTTGGTGAAATGATATCATTGTTGCAGAGTTAGAAGCTCCAGAAGTCGATTTTGAAATACAACTTGAAAAAATTCTCTTGTCTCCCGAGAGTGTTCATACATAAGGGTCAGAAAGCTAGAAATTTAACATGTAACTTGCTTTGTAGAAAGACCAGGTCTGAGCTTCTAAGCTACTCTTGCAGAGAATCACAAGCAGCCTGCCAGGTTCCATTCATTTTAATGTGTTTGGATTGCTACAGACGTCATACAACTCACTTTTTTGAACTGATACATAAACAGATCCAATGTGTTCTAGCCTTGGCTCTAAAACAAACATAAGTATTTGCCGTTATCTGAGAATTCCCTCTAACAGGAGTCTGAGAGATGAATTAGAGGGCAGACAACCTTTAGGACTAACCTAATGACGTCTTCTTTAGATACAAATAATGTAATATGTAATAAGTGTTTCAAATACAACATTTTCTCGCTCTTTTCTGTCTTTAACAAAAGATCTGCTTTAAAGTTTATATTTCATGTGTTTTAATTTTTAAAATTTTTAACTGAAATGATTTATGAGAAGGTCCATCTTTACAGATTTTCTGTATTTAGAAAGATACAAATGTTTTGGCTAAAAAAAAGAGACAGCGAATTTGACATTAAATTGACTAGAAAGCAACTCTTCACAGACCAAAAACAACTAAAGTACAGGTAGTATAGGTTGATACTAAAGGAGGGATTGGTGGACATTTATAAATGTATTTAATAAATCTGCTATTCTGTCATCCTTTTCTGTTTGCTGAAATATGATCTTTAAATGACTTGTGCTTAATATTTTCCACATTTCACCCATGATGCAAGAGCACTGATATAAAATGATACGTCTACTCACGTTTGACCCCGACTCCCTATTTATGCATGATTTATAGCAGAGTACACTTAAACAGATGTTCTGTATAGATGAAGAATACTGGAAAAAAATCTAAACCCACAGTGCCTCATTACTAATATATCATCATTCTTCAGATTGGGACCGGTTGCAGAATGACTGGAAGTTGTATAAATATGCGACTTAATGTGTAGTGAAAGTATACAATACAATGTACAGCACTAATTGCAGCAGAAAACTTGCTTTGGATAAAAATACTTTCAACACTAACTGTTTATCAAAACGTACCTCTTTGGATTCAGTGCTGATGGGACTCAGTAGGAGAGAGTAAAGGACATCTTTACCCCCCAGGAAGAGCCGATCTCGGTACTCATCAAGAAAGACAGCGCTGAGAGACAATTGGCCATCATGGCCACTGAAGAGGGAGGACCTGTTGGTGGACAGCAGGTCTGCAGAAAGAATAAAGCACAAACGGTTAACGGCAATTAAAGCAGCATGCTTTGTTTTGCTATTGTTGACATTGACAAACAGACACATTTAATCACAAACGTTTTTCTCTTGAAATAAATTCTCCTTTTATGTTCTCCTCACAGTATTTGGACACAAGCAGACTCTCAGCATTTGCAGGGAAACATGGATGCAATTATCTAAATAATTAGTTCAGCATATAATGCATTTAGTTTGAGGTTAAGAAGTTAAATATCAAGCTCTAAAATAATTTCCATATGCTCAATTCATATTAGCTCCTATCTTATGGGTTTCCTTGGGTTTTATTAAATGTCTGCCAATTTTTTTAATCTGCCTAAATATCTACAATGGGGATTTGTTTTGACACTAAACATACAGCTACTATGGTTATTTACTCAAACCCAGCAGGTCAATTGTGATATTATAGGGATTGCTTCTGTTGAACTATACAAATGAAACACTTAGTGTCACTAAACCAGGATCCCTTTACCACAAATCTATTTGTTTTACATTAATGCCTTCCATCTGTGTAGAATACAAATAACCAAATAATCTTCCAGTTCTTAGGGCATTAACAAACCAGTAATCTATTTGGTCAAACCAGTCTGGAGGAAAGCTAAAACAAACAGGCCTCTGACATTCAATATGGTCTTATCTACACACTAATAAACAATAAGAGGAAAATTTTCCCTCTAAAAAGCATTTAGAGTGGCTCTTTTTTTATTCCTTAATGATCAAGCATTTTAGTCAAACATGCTATTGTTTCTTGTTTTATCCGACTTTCTGTCCAACTAATAAAGTGAGAAAGCGATATACAGACAAGGCTATTTAATTTCTGTTGAAATGAAACAAAAATGACTGACGCTTGATATGTGGTTTCCAATGTTACTTAGTAAATCTAAATAAATTTTGAGTGGTACAGCAACCCTAATGACTAACAGGTTTATAGAGAGCAGATGAGAAAAAAAATCTAACACCAAAACCAAGCACAAACTCTCTCTTTAGTCACACTTATACCCACAGTAAATGTAACAGTAGCTATTAATTCAGCATTTCCAATATTGTTTAATCTAAACTTCACAAAAGGAAACATTACTAGGTCTAATTTAAGGTAAAATATTTTGTTTGCTACCTTGTGTGTTTGCAAATGACATCTCTTTAGTTTCTTCCTAGAAAATGCTAAAGGAATACAGGACACAAAATTAGCATTTGAATTAGAGAATTGCTTCAGCATAGTGAGGCACAAGGATCATCAACTATCAGTGAAATTTACTTGATCGTAACTCATCCTCAGTTTCTTCACAGTTAAGGTCAGAAGGGAAAACTCAAATCTAATGAAGTCTATAGGGAGGTTAAACTAGCCTGTACCACCTTAAGCCACACTGTGAAAGTTTCCTTTTAGTGAAGACATGAGGCAAAAACCTAGAGGGGAAAAATATTCAACATACACATTTTTAATGACAAATAAAGTAGATGTGAAATTGAAAGAAAAAACTGTCATGTGTGCAATTAAAAGTATGAAGACAACATATTTTCTTGAACTAAGAAGCAGTTTAGGAGTCAAAAGGTTGACTTTACAGCTCTGCAGTTGTGGTAAAGTTGACATGACTTTAAGTTCAGATAGACGCAGGGGTCTTCTCTTATCATCTAACAACCACTGCTTGACACAAGCTTATCCTGCTTCTACTCTTTAAGTTGACTCTTTCTTTATCTGTCAACATGAAGATGTGGGCAAAAAAAAAAAAAAAATCTTGTGACAAAATGTCATCTAACTGTCAAAGCCCCGCTGATGTAGATGGGGGTCAGAATCACCTTTCTGTTCATCCCTCATCACCTCGTCGCTTGAGTCACTCTGCACTTGGTGAGCCGTATTGAAAGAGTGAAGCTGGAAGACCCCGTCACACCTTGTCCATCACTGTGGCTTTACAGACAAACACTGGATCTGTTTTTATAAGAGATCTCACTTTCTCACACTCATGAGCTTCCAAACTGGGCCAGAAATGTCCCACTTGGGCAGCAAGATAATATTATTTCATTTATTTGTTTCCCGTCAATTTGCTTGTTTTAGAACCATTCATTTATTGTATTAGCGACCTACTGTGTACCTCTCAACAAAAAGCCTCACATGGGATTGTCTTCAGCCACTGCCAGATATCAGGAGGAAAATGCTGGTATACAGGGCCTTGTAAAAGCAAACCAAGCACAAAGAGGGAGGGAAATTGTGTTTGGCCAAATTTTCTTTGTTGTATTTCTGCATGGCAACGAATCTATTACAGCTATAAAGACTGTTTATTTTCCTTGAAATGAGGTCGCATTTGTGAGAAAAACGTATTTAACTGTAGAGTGGCAGAGCCGAGTATATGTGCCACTCCCAAGAAAACATTACCAGTCTCCCCCAGTGCCAAACGGCTTTCTCTGCCATTAATTCTTGCTTTTTTCATTTATTGCATTGGAAGAAGTTTGAAGACACAAATTTTTTTTGGCATTCAACAGTTTATTAATTTTACCAACAGGGATGGAAAATTGCACTGAATAACTAGGCACAACCAAGACAGCCTGAAGCCTCCTTCTAAGCCCGGTTCCACACTGTTGGGGGATGGCATCTTATTAATTTGTCAAAAAGCATTAGACACAAAGTATTAGGTTGTAATCGTCTGTCTATTCACAGCATAGTCACCTGATCTAAATCTTTAATGTGTTTTAGATCATGACTGCAGACAGGCTGCTGCGTCCTCTAACCTCCCAGCTTCTAGCGGTAATCTCTGATAAACTGTTCTGTTGGGGCAACCATTAACATATCAAGGATTGAAGATCAGTTTTAGGATATAGAGGTATTGCCACTAAAGAATAAAACTTTAAATCACTCAACAAGGGGATTTCTTCTTATAATAACAATCCTTGTTTGCCTAGGCAGGAAGAGACCATCCAACACCATCATGCTCCCTTAGCCAAAAGCTGCTTGGTATTGGGAGACATATTATGCCAAGATTTTCAGCTGTCCGCATACCGAACTCTGATGTTCAAACCACCAATGCCAAGGATCACTGATACAACAAAGAAATTATTGTCCAAAAGCGTTTTTCTTTTTATTTGAACCTTGAACTTTTTAAGAAACTGTAACATTACAGCCACTTTCTTGTATTTCAATAGTTTTATTTAAGACTCCAAAACAGTACAGCCATGTTGTTAAGTGACAGTAAGCAAATACATTTTATATGTGATTCTAATGTAAAGAGATGTGAGAAACTTTAGAAATTATAAATAGTTTTGAAGTTACTGTAACTGTTCAAAAAAGAGACGGTTTAAATCTCTTAGGTGGAAAAAAAATAAAACATGGTTTTACGTAGACAAAGCATACACCTGGAATTTTGTTAAAAATGTATCATAATACATAATAGATCATATAGAAAAATAGCAGATTAGCTTATAAAACCTCCTCATTAACCATAACAAAGAGCTTGCTGAAGTGTTGTGAAAACATTTTTAGTATTTAAAAACATATAAGCAGTTTCTCTGATATATTTCCCTCAAACCATTAAATTAAAGACCACTATTATTCAGAAACATTGGTAAAAAAATATATAGATATATATACTGTATATATATATAGTCTTATGTAATGCTTCAAAACCGTGAGGCGTTATAACTATTTCTACAAAAACACCGTTATTAGTCAACAGTGGGAGGAAGACTTCAGAGGTAGAACATTAAAGCTTCTGGCGACACAATAATGAGGGAAAAGGAAGGAGGGAGGCAACAGGGATTTTCACAGTGGGGAGAAAAATAAGTTAAAGCAAGAACAGGAAAGTTAGAAAGAAAAGGAAGGAAATGTGGTCATTAGATGCAGCAGAGTCAGAAAATAATGAGCTGAAAGAAGATAAAGAAGAATCCAGAAAAGACCGCAGTGTAAAAGATTCATCACAAAACATCGACCACATGTCATCGTGCTTTACCTCAGATGATGAAAATGTGTCTCTGACATTGATTTTATTTTAAACAGCGCTTGTAGTGCTTATATTCTTATATTGTATCACATAAAGAGTAATGTTATAGGCTGCTCAGTGGGGCAGTGGATAGCACTGGGTTCTCTCTGGGTACTCCGACTTCCTCCCACAGTCCAAAAACATGACTGTTAGGTTAATTGGCTTCTCTAAATTCTCCTTTGGTGTGAGAGTGTGTGTGAATGGTTGTTTGTCCTGTTTGTCTCTGTGTTGGCCTGCGATGGACTGGCGACCTGTCCGCATGAAGCTGGACACTAGCATCCCTTACAACCCCGTTTGGGATAAGCGTGACGGAAATGGATGATATTATTTATAGGAATACATTTGCTAACATATTGTTAAAAAATTACCGTGTACTTTCATAATAACAATCTTTGTTTATGTCCAAGTATCAAGATAAGACTTCACAGTACTTTTACAGACCAATGGAAAATCGTAAAAGTGTCTGGAGTGATCATACACAAAGGGACCACATAGAAAAGAGGATAATTTATAGGACACAGCATAAAGTTTAGTATTTTACGACATGAAGACAGTATTTCCGTTGGCAGTTTAATGACTTGGATCCATAATCTTTCTCTGTTCTTGGGAAATATATACGATTACCTCAGATATAGCAACATTTTCCATTTATCTTTGTGCTGGCTATTTTGGATCGCTACTCAGCAGCTTATGTTATCTGAAATGCTTTCCTGTAGCAGACTTTTTAATGTAATGCAATAACTCAGATGTTAGTTTTAAGAAACCTATAGTAAAAAAATAACTCTGTTTATCTGCCACGTACTCATACTTATTAGTTTTCTTTTTTGGACATTTTAAAAAGAGTCAATACTGCAAAAAATTTGTCAGCATTTCTTAAATTAAGTATATTTACTCTTAATTTGATTAGGTAAATAGGATGATTTGTCTATGGAATTAGTATTTTTACTATTAAAATAACATAATTAGATAATATGCACTTAATAAAAGACAATGCAATT